AAAATTAAAGTTTTTTGGGTGTTAGTATCAATATGTTAGTCTTAAGGTTATCTATAAGGCAGTGTGCTCCAAAACAGTGACAAAATTCGCATTTATAAGATATAAGCATTCAAAGCTTGCAGTTTGTCACTTTGTCGATTTTTTTGACGTCACATCGTACTTCATCTTCTCATCAAATCTTCTGACCAATCAAATGCTCTCTAGAATCCGAAGCGCCCGCCCCCTACACTATAAATAGACGCTGAAGCTGCGGCTAAGATCGGTCGCTTGTTCACAGTGTAGTATTTCCTGTACGGTGAATTGTTCGAAGTGCACAATGTAGGTGATAGGGAACGACTCAGACAGTGTAAATATGCTTTCGATTGGTGCAAATGAGGTCTGGTTTCACATTGTTTCACACGAACCACTGCAGCGCACACAGTCTGATCCAGACTTTGGCTCCGGTCTAGAGACGCGATCGCACGGAGCGGATCATATGCGCGAGTCGGCATGTATTAAAAACTTTTACAACTACACAGCCTCAGCATGATTAGGATAACTATTTTATTTTACTAAGAGTTTCATATTGAATCTATGGGGTAATCTATTAGACCGTGGCTGTCAAATACGGCTTTACCGAGCTCAACGGCTCTGGCCCGAGCAGATATAAACTAAAAGCAATTGGCTATTTTAAAAAGGGGGCGGGGCTGCTTGATATGTCCCGCCCTCTCTTCCTGTTTCAGTTGAAATTACATCACCATATAGAATAATGCTGCGTGTTTCAAGGCACTTCAGGGGACCTTTAAAATATTTTCGTGCATTATGTAAAATGTGGACTAATAAGTCTGTAAAATGTTGCTTTCATGCACTAAACTTAAAGTATGTCAAATGTTTGTGCACTAAAAATGTTGTTTTTGTACACTAATCAGTAAGTAGGCTACTAATGTAGTTTTCGTGGACTAATCTTAAAGTACGCTTTGGAACGGTCCTAAGGAAATTGTCCAACATCCGTGGCCTCACCCAACCACTGTGAACAGATCCACATCAGAGAATGCAGCGCTTCAAGAAGCCTCCAGACATGAAAGTCAAACACACTCGCCTGAGGCTACAGACGAACATTTGACTTACAAACGCACTGCCACGTCCTGAGGTTACTGTAAATCACGCGTTCTTAGAAATCAGCAGAGTCAAAATCATTCAATCCTAAAGCATTTATTGTGTTACATGAAAACATGCACATTCATCACTTTTACTAAGTAACAGTTTTCTGCAAGAAACTGAGGCGTAGCTATGCGGTATATGGGACACTCACAGAAATATCTTGCTTTGCTAAGCATAAAAATAAAGACATCAACCAATGACATCTGTCATTTTATTTTATTTTTTTAATTATGTGACATACATCTGTTTTTATGACAATTAGTTGTGGTGTCAAAATATCCCTGACAGTTATTGTTAAACTAAGGTTATAATTAAAATGACAACAAAACCTACTCATCAGGCATTTTATTAGCTTTGTACTTTAAGCGTTTTGACTTGTGATTTTATCCTCATGACATGTATAATAAAGCAGGTGAAAAATCCCATAAACTTACACTGAAGCAGGGATTGAACGTCTCAACACTTCAGAAAAAGTAAACATTTAGCTGAATGAAACGAATGACTGAATGACTATTTTCTATAAATCAATCAATCATTCACCTGTTTAATAGGGCAGCAGCCGAGTGTTTCTGTCAGACGTGGTTCCGGCTAATTAGGCCTGTAGTATAAATAGCAGTTCCAAGTCACATTAATTATAGCCCAGTCCAGAGGGAAATACACAGTTAAAATGACTACAAACTCTATTATGAGTAAAAAGAGAACAGGAGAACTGTGCAATGGAAATATAGAAGCTGCCGCATGAGCGCGATGATAAAACTAGGGCTGGATTTACATCCTCAGCTCATAACTACAGGCCGTCCAGGTTTGCATTTACTGAAGCAACTAAATATTAGTGTTATTTAAGTATCATGTAAATTCTATTAAAGTTTTTATTCATATTTTTCGTTTTGGATCCTTTTTTTATTAGTCTTTTTTAAATATCTCAATATAGTTTTTATTTGTTTTAAATGTCGTTTTATTTTTTTGTTATTTTGAATCATTTAAATACTTTTATAGTTTTTATTAATAATTGTAATTAGTTTTCATTTTAGATTGCATTTTTATTTTTAGTTCAAGGGAATTTGTTGTGTGGTTTTGTTATTTTTAATCTCCATATACTAGAGTTATTTTTTCAGTTTTAGTTACTTTAACTGAAATTATAAATAAAAAATAAACATGAAAACCGTTGCCTTGGCAACTAGCAAAAATAAAATAAAGTTTATTTTTTTAGATATAGTTATATTATTTTAGGTTCATTTTAGTTTTAGTTAACTAATAACCCGGTTGAAGTATTATTTAAATAGTTTGTATTCATATTTTGAATTATTCTTTATTTTGAATTTTTATTTAATTTTTTAGTATTTTTAGTTTTAGTTCCATACATTTTTATTTCAGTTTTTTTGCTGAATCAAGTTAAGCTAAATGAAAATGGAGAAATGTTGCCTCGAGAAGTACCTGGGAAAAAAAGAATTATATATACATATATATTTCTATTTCATTTCAGTTATGAGTTTAGTTTTAATTACCAACTAAAATAACCCTGGTGTTCATTCAAGTATTATTATTATTACTATTTTAGTTTTGTTTTTATTTAAGTTTTTTAAAATATATATTTTAATTCAGTTATCATTTCATGGTTTTAGTTTGACTTAATTACCTAAAATAACCCTGGTTCAAGCTCAGATTTGAGTCTTTGGTTCGGTGTAAATGAAAAGCTATGAATGACCATCTTCACAGTGTAGATGCGAGATTTCAGCCTGTTTTAACAGCGAATGCTGCAGATTCATGTGTGTAAATACACGGCTCCTCCATTCGCTCTCAGTGTGACCCAAGAAGGCCTGCTGATCATCAAACCAGCGCTAATCTCAACATCCTCGCCTTCAGCTCTCGTACTGATCCCGCACTGTCGGAGTGTGATCGGATGGAGTGCACGGATCAAACTAAAGGTCACACGTAGCTCAGTTCATCAACAAACAAGTGCATCAGTACCAGGCCTAGTTTAAAAACTCCCTCCATGCAGCACTGATTGTAAGAAACTGGCTCAAAAATGCCACGAGCAACAGGCAGATTGCATAAACACGGCTCACTATCTGTCTGCAGATGGCCCTGTCTGACTGTCTGTCTGTCTGTCTGTCTCCGGCAGTATCAGTGTCAAGGTCCAGCCATTACATTTAGATCTGTAAGGTTGCAAAGTGTTATGCACATGCTGTGACCGTATGAACCTGCTGGCATGTCTCTACTGTACTTCAGCTCTATATATGTGAGAGAGTATAATGTTGAATATTGAACCGTCTCTGTTTAAAGCTGCTACTGCTGCAAATGTACCTTGAGGCATCAACTAATGCATGATAAATTACTAGTGTAATTTACTGTACATTAACCTCTGACAAAACCTTTCAAAAACATGTCCACCCCGAAGCCCTAGTTAACAGGGAATGTTCTCAGAACGCTCTACATTAATACAATGTTCAAACCATTAGCACAAAAACATTTAGCAACATTTCCCCCCCTGAAACATTGGCTGGATGTTCATCTAAAGTTTTTAAAATGTTCCCGCTTGTTTCAGTTGCTACTCGTCACCTATACGACCACCGGGACAAGACCACAGGAACCAGATGAGTCCTCTGCACAGTCTGACTTTGCTGCAGCCTAGAATTAAGCTGCTGGTTTCGTCTGGCCAGAGGAGAACGGAACACTATTTCCATTTTTAATACTGTAAAGCTGCTTTTTTTGTGTCACAATCGGCATTGTAATAAGCCAGAAATAAATAATGGTGACTTGACTTCAGAAGAATGTTCAGAGAACTTTCAAAAGTAACATTTCTATAATGTTCACAGAATGTTCTCGCAAGGTTATGAACAAACGTTCTTCCAGTAACGTTAAAAGAACATTTGTTCAAAGTTAACGTTCTCAAAACCGAACTATTTTTCCTGGGTTTTTTTGGTAAATGTTGCTACTTGTTTCAGAATATTCAGAACACATGTAAAAGTAGCTAATATTCCCATAATGCTTGCAAAATAATACAACAGAATATTCCCTAAACGCTCAAATGATCAAGATAAAAACACGTTTTGAAATAACGTTTGTATAACTTTATGGGAATGTTATGAAAACGTTCTTAGAACATATTTTGTTAACTGGGACTAATAAACTAAAATGATTGTTTGCCAATGTAACGATTAAGCACATTTGAGAAAAGCGGCTTTTCTTTGGATTCGGAGATGAAACGCAACCCGGAAAGGACTGACGCTCAAGCGCAACAATGTAGCAAGACAGAATGACTCGATCGCGCCACAGCTCAACACTTCAAGCATGTGTGCTACACTGGAACATTTGAACAGAAGCTCCGGCGCTCTCTGCTTCACCCGCCGCGCAGCGAGCGCTTGAACGCTGATGTGACATCAAGCACAGTAAGAAACAAGACGACGACGCGTCGCGAGCCGCTGCCGCGCACACAGAACGCGTGCGGGTGTTTAAAATCATCTCAAACTACACGCTTCGACGTTCAAAGCTGTACTTCTTAACACACCATCTTAAAACGCAGCGGTGAAAGACGCCAGTATGACGCACCGCGAATGGAACGCAACGAAAACGCGTCCTCCTGTAGGCTATACAGGAGGTTTGAGCGCTGCTCCGGGTCGATAGGCAGATTTTACACGCTTCACTCTCCAAGAATCCAGATCCGAAACACCCTCGATCGGGTTTCAAAGCACACGTGAACGCATCCAGACCGTCATGATTAAACACGCTGAGCACATTCTCTTCCTCAAGGATGCGTCAACACACCGCGACGCGTTTTCTCTTATAACGGTACATCCGGGATTAAAGGTGAAGGTACATTTAGTTCCTAAAGCAGAAGAAAGCATTATATCTCGCCTTACCTTGCTCATGAATCCCCGAGCCGCAGCAGCGCGTCCCTCTCTCTAGCGTGCTCCACAGAGCTGCAGTGAACGCGCCTCTAGCGCAGCGCTGATGGAGACACGAGTGTGTGTGTGTGTGTGTGAGAGAGAGAGAGAGAGTGTATGTGTGTGAGAGAGAGAGAGAGAGAGAGAGAGTGTGTGTGTGTGAGAGAGAGAGAGAGAGTGTGTGTGTGAGAGAGAGAGAGAGAGAGAGAGAGAGAGTGTGTGTGTGTGAGAGAGAGAGAGAGAGTGTGTGTGTGAGAGAGAGAGAGAGAGAGAGAGAGAGAGTGTGTGTGTGTGAGAGAGAGAGAGAGAGTGTGTGTGTGAGAGAGAGAGAGAGAGAGAGAGAGAGAGTGTGTGTGTGTGAGAGAGAGAGAGAGAGTGTGTGTGTGAGAGAGAGAGAGAGAGAGAGAGAGAGAGTGTGTGTGTGTGAGAGAGAGAGAGAGAGTGTGTGTGTGAGAGAGAGAGAGAGAGAGAGAGAGAGAGTGTGTGTGTGTGAGAGAGAGAGAGAGAGTGTGTGTGTGAGAGAGAGAGAGAGAGAGAGAGAGAGAGTGTGTGTGTGTGAGAGAGAGAGAGAGAGTGTGTGTGTGAGAGAGAGAGAGAGAGAGAGAGAGAGAGTGTGTGTGTGTGAGAGAGAGAGAGAGAGTGTGTGTGTGAGAGAGAGAGAGAGAGAGAGAGAGAGAGTGTGTGTGTGTGAGAGAGAGAGAGAGAGTGTGTGTGTGAGAGAGAGAGAGAGAGAGAGAGAGAGAGTGTGTGTGTGTGAGAGAGAGAGAGAGAGTGTGTGTGTGAGAGAGAGAGAGAGAGAGAGAGAGAGAGTGTGTGTGTGTGAGAGAGAGAGAGAGAGTGTGTGTGTGAGAGAGAGAGAGAGAGAGAGAGAGAGAGTGTGTGTGTGTGAGAGAGAGAGAGAGAGTGTGTGTGTGAGAGAGAGAGAGAGAGAGAGAGAGAGAGTGTGTGTGTGTGTGTGAGAGAGAGAGAGAGAGAACTGGGTGTGACTCCACACAGAACCACTCAATACACTTTCTACACGAAAACGAAAAGTGTTTAGCTTTGCACTTCCTCATTCAGGACTGATCGGTATTAAATGGTTTTCTATTGGAAACCACCGCGTGAATAAATTCTATAGGTTTTACAGAAGACGTATTGAAGGGTTAGACAGACCTAATGCAGTGATGGATGCCTAGGTTAAATAATTGATATACATCAAGTACTCAACAGCACACTTGAGTATTATTATTCCTCGCATAACTAGCTTGTCTATTAATAATTTGTTCAAACTGTTTGAGGATTTGTGATTTACCTCTCTAGGAAATATTGTGTCTGCCCTTAAGACGATACATTTGCACTTGCAAACCTAAAATGTTAGTATTTTTGAATGTTCTCTGAACATCCAGTTTTTGAAATCTATTAAAAACTCTTCTTAAAGAAAGATTTCATTTGATGTTTTGCAAAGGTATTGGGAACGTTCCAAAACAAGCAGCTACATTAAAAAACAACAACACTTGAATGTTCATCCAACTAAACACTCTCAGAAAAAAAAGTTCTAGAAACGACACGTTTTTGTGCTAACGTTATTCAAGACAAGATACTGTTCCCGTAAGAACATGACTTCATCACTTTGAGAGAAAGTTGCGAAAGCATTATCTCTTAGCAGTGAAGTTACTGAGCATGGTAAAGTATCATAAAAATCATTCATGCAGCGCAATGATTAACAGATACTGTGTAATGGTGTAACGTACAGTATTTTGATCTGATCTGAAAACTGTCTGCTGCCTGGATGTTGTAGTTGTCTGCAAGCCAAACAATCTGAGATAAAGTAAGAACTGGAATAGCACATTATGCAAAAGACCTGTATGCTAATCATAGTGGGATTCCAAACAGCATGACGGAAAACAAGCTGGATAGGTGAGGACACGACGCTTTTAAAAAAACACGTTATTGAGCTACTGACAAAGTTGACTGAATTGTTTCTGTGGGGCCACAAGACGACATAAACTGACCATTCAGTTAATAGAACACAAATACTGGCGCTATTATTCAATAAGATGTGATTTGAGCTATTATCTATTAATGCAGAATCATGTTTAGAAAATAAAGCTAACTAAATGTAAAGCTACCAACTGGCTTCCTCCAGTCTTTATGTTAGAAACCGTTCTGGCAAGGTTCTCTCAATGTTCCAGTAATGTTGTTTGTTCAATGTTATCTGGTCTTTAACAATGATTTTAAGCACGTTAACATTATTTACACATTTTTCAAGACTTTTTTTTATGGAACCTTTTAGTTAGAACATTCTGATTTTAGAACCTTCACAAGTAACATACCCATGTTTGCAAAATTACGAAATGGAACGTTACTGTAACATTCACATAACCAAGATTCATATATTTATTTTAAAAAAAGCATTCTTAGAACATTTTGTCAGCTGGAAAGGTTCGTCAGCGCAGTCACTGGGTGCTTCAGAATGAGGGCGTTTAATTGCAGATGATCTTTTGAGGAACACGCCTGCGCTGTTACTTTAAATAAGCACACTTGCTGACCTCCATACTAGTACAGACCTGTTACTGCAGGCCCAGCAGTGGGTCCTACCTGGGAATATATAGAGCTTCATGTTAGTGTAGTGTCTGTAGGTCTGCACATCAGCGTGTAATGAACTAAATGAGCAAATGTTAGTCAAAGTGCTTAAACCGCAAGGATGGACACCTGTTTATGTGCATGTACTCAAGGTGTAATTGTAGCAGACACATGTTCTTAGTAACAATGTTCACACCCATATTTTCATTACACCCTCAGGATTACTTCCCTAAACCATCCCACTCACGATCGGAAAGAATACAAAGTTTAAACCTGTTTGAAGTGGCTTCAGTATGAAAAATGGATCACATCTAAAGTGTTTTGAAAAGAAAATAAATACCTAAATAAAGTGGTTTGCGCTGTCTAGTTGTATACCTGACCCATATCCAGGGATCAGATTTCATTCAAACATTTCAACAATTCAGAACAAGCCAAGGCACTCAGTTCAGAAAAAAAAAAAAACACGACCTCTGCTGGTCAAATGTGTAATTGCAAGTACTTTTAGAGGGTTTCAATGGCGCCCTCATGCGGCCAATCAGATCGGATAAATACAGTACGTCATTCGCTTCACTCACATTATATTGCAATCGCTTATTAAATCGAATTTGCCTGCCTGGAAACTTCTTATAATTACTGGAAGCAATCTCTATTCTACACTAAAATTCCTATTGGACAAACATTTAAAATAGTTACAAGCATTAGAATTATAATTTCTGCATCTGTGGGACTTTATATTCTCAACTACAAACAGAAAATGTGTACAGGACAACAAAACAAAAGACAAATCTAGTGTGAAAAAAATTTATTGATTGGCAAAAATATTCTGTAAAAGTAAACCTGAATAAATTACGTCAGGTAGACCACATCAATCATGAATAATTGTGTGGACTCCACTGCATCAAAGGTCAACGTACAATTTAGGAAATGCATCCGAGAAGGTCAGGCAACAGCAAGACTCGAATAAACTTGAGCTGTAAACAAGCTGCAATGCTCTGGGCTACAAAAACACAAAACGCACAAGTGTACAAATTTCTATAAGATTTGAAAGGCAAAACGGACTTACCTCTCAGTCCAGATGTTGAGGAACATGAACCCACAATGTGGACGTCTGTCCACTTCACTAGCAGAGGATGTAGTTTCAAGATCCACTAGAATTACTCATTGAACTTGCTCTAATTACAGTGATAAACCACCAAATACACCAACAAAGGGCCACAGGCGAGTAACTGAGTTTACATGAACCTTAATCTTTCATTCAAACAGATGCAAAGTGACCAATGCATAGGTCACGTCACGTGTCGTGTCAAATACCCAGAAGTACATCTCTCAACTGTCTTCAAAGTCTCAAAATAAAGTGTATGAATATTTACAGTAAGCAGAGATAACCTTGCAGACTTGCATGTGGAAACAGCTGCCATAAGCAGTCTACATAATGAAAATTGGAAACGCTGTACAACGAAATGGTTGAACAAATTTGCATGAACGCTTAAAGGAATAGTGATCTGAAAATGAAAATTTGCTTAATTTACTCGCCCTCAGGCTACACAAAATGTAGAACTGTTTGTTTCTTCATCAGATTTGGAGCAATGTAGCATTCCATCACTTGCTCACCAAGGGAACCACTGCAGTGAATGGGTGCCGTCAGAAAGAGACTTCAAACAGCTGATAAAAACATCACAATAATCCACTCCACTCAAGTCCATCAATTAACATTGTGTGAAGACAAAAGCTGTATGTTTGTAAGAAACAAAATGATTTTTATCAGCTGTTTGGACTCTCATTCTGACAGCACCCATTTACTGCAGATGGTTCATTGGTGAGACAATGATGCTAAAATTCTCCAAATCTGATGAAGAAACAAACTCATCTACATCTTTGATAGCTTGAAGGTGGGTACATTCAGCAAGTTTTCATTTTTGGGTGAACTATTCCTTTAAATTCTAAATCTAGCAGAACCAAACATAAGAGACCTTTTGAGAGACAAATTACAGTAAATCCTACATATACACACACACACACACTTTGAGATTAGATGTATACACAAAGCAATGCACACAATCTGCAGCAGGGATGTCAGATAGACATTACAAATGCAGAATATTTTGCACTATCATTTACTAACCATAAACGATTCATTATTTTGACTCAAAAACAAAATTGAGCATGTTTCATAGATTTGAATAGTATAGCTCCAATCACAATCAAGAAAACCAATGAAAAGTTATGGAAAATTTAACCTTGCAGGAACTGCCAATCGATTTGGAATATGAACAGGAATTAACAGATACTACACAAATTAATCCATATTGTATTGAACCTCTTAAAATTAAGTAAAATTAAATGGAAAAGGCACAATGGCACAGTTTTTATAGAAAGTAAAGACGTCAAAAAACCTGAAATGTGGTTCTTAAACCAATTATCCTGATGTCTAAGTAGGAAAAGTTTTAGAAATAGCAATTCTGAACAAATAAAAAGCAATGGCTGGCTAAATGTTTAACCCAGTAACCTAAACTAGCACATCAAGTATGAACAAGCAACAAGTACACACTTTATTACAACACATTCTATTTAATAATCAAGGCAAAAGACACTTACAAACATTATATGGACGAGGGAAAAAGGGAAGAAACATGAAACCAAAAAAAAGAGAGGATCCTATAAAAACAAATCTAGCTAACTGACAATTTACAACATTATAGCAGTGGGAAACTCGAACAAGCAGGCAAACAATTATTTTGCTGAACTGACTTTAGCACACAGCTACTTCCAAATAAAAGTAACAAATAAAAAAAGCTGTCGGGAATTAAGAGTGAGTATATAATATTTTACAGAACTCTACTTTAGCTCTGCAGAGTGTGTCCGGAGTCCGGCGCTCTCCGTGACGCTGTCGGATGAATCCACGTTGCTTCTGACGTCTCTCCTCCTCTCTTGCGTTCAGCTGAAAGGTGTCAAAACGAAGGTGGCAGTTTGTTTTGGGGCACAGAACCCAGAAACACACACAGCTGCTTTTCCCCTCTACATCTACACACGCTCAGACTGTCCCAGACATACACACACATGCAATTTTCAACAGCATCAAACTAAGGGGCATATTGTTGCGTTACGACTACTGTAATAGTCTAAAGCAATATTTAAAATGTAGTAGTTTCACAAAAGCACAGAATTTGGTAAAGGTTAGGGATGTAACGATTAACCGCGAGCCTGTTGAAAATCGATTAAAATATGTGACTATTCAAATCGGTTGAGATGCTAAACAAATCACGATTCAATTAGGTGTAGGAGTTTATATGAATGCATGTCTGAGGAGAACTTACTGTCTTTAGAAAAGTTTAGATGGCATTTTTTTTCTTTTCATCTTGCCTCTGTATAATTCAAATTTAAAGTTCATAAGTGCAGCGCTGCTTTGTTTACAGCGGAAACCAGGAAACGCTTTAAGTGCCACCTGCTGGCAGAGAATGAATCTGCATCTCGTTCAGCTCATCTGCTGTTTCATGCAGATATTTTTATTTATAGTTTCACAAAACTGAAGTCAAACCATTCTGTTTTTGCTTCAAAATTCTGAATTATACAACCTAATTTAGATTAAAAACTGCTCATGTTGCATGTATGTTTTGGATCATGATTAAAATGCAGTGGTTGCCTCTAATTTTAAATGGAAAGAGCACAGACAAAGCCTTATTTTGTTTATGTGAAGAGATTTCTTTTATTTGTGTTATTTATTTTATTTGGGGCTTGTTTTAAAATTTCAATTTAGTTTTGTTATTTACATTTACATTATATTTATAGGGGGGTACAATGCAGTTTCATGCATTCAGAGATGTTTACACTGTTAAAGAGTTGGATTATCATGCTAAGCATGGACAGTTTCAAAAAACAATTTGGACGTATGACAGCGTATTTCTGTGCCAAAAATCTTACTTCTGGGTTCGTACAAGTTTGAGAATTTTTTCCAATCGTGGCTCTTCATGACATAGACGAGGGTGGAACTCCTTATTATGGGCATTTCTCCCGGAAGAACGCGCCCGCATCGACCAGAGCGAGATCGCGATTCATCCGGCTGCAGCGCTGCACGGGATTCGCTCGGGATGAATATCATCAACCTTAAGTGTGTTTTTGGTTGTAAGGGAAGGATAGCATTGTTCAGCTTCCTAAAGAACCCAGCGTTATGTAGACAGTGGATACGGTTTGTTTTTCCGGGGCAGCAACAGAGTTTCACAAGTGTGTTTGTTGACGAACGTTTTATAAACAAGGCCCAGTTCGACGCTTGATTTGCACACCGTTTGATACTGAAAGATGGAGCAGTCCCAGCTATAAAAGATCCCGGTCACGATTCAGAACTGCAGACGGTAAGTGAAACGGCATCAAATGTCTGTTTTGTTGGCATTCAGCGCCCAAGTGCTCATCACTCTTTAGCTCCGCCCACGGCACACCTCCAGGAGCTCGGCTTTTTCCAGAGAGAATCGTAAAGCTGTATCTTTCTTTTATAAATATGATAAAACTAAAGACTTTTTGGAGATATGAAGGATGCAGTACTACTCTATAGGTACTCAAGATTAACATGAGATTGGGTGAAACTCTGTTATGCCCCCTTTAAATTGTCATTTAGCAGATGCTTTTATCCAAAGTGACTTACAAACGAACACAATAGAAGCAATCAAAACCAACAAAAGAGCAATAAAAAGCAAGTGCTATATTAGTATATTATAGTGTTATATTTCAATTTCACAAAGAAACGTGCAGCATTTTGTCCAAGCAATAATAAAAGGACACATTTAATTTGTCTTAAATATCATTTTGTTAAAATCGTGAATCGAATTGCGAGTTGAGTGAATCGTTACATCCCTGGTAAAGGTACAACATTAACTGCAGTCAATAACAAACACTGTACTTGAAACAAGCCCCTGGATTCAGAGTATAAATACAGAGTGAAGAGACGACAATCATAAAGACATTGGCATGCACAACTATGAAACACTGCAACACAACTCAGCAAATCCGTCATTTTCACTCTGATGGACATTACTTAAAGGAATAGTTCAACCAGGAATGAAAGTTTGCAGAATTTGACATCCTAGATGTAGATGAGTTCGTTTCTTAATCAGATTTGGAGAAATGTAGCATTCGATCACTTATTCACCAATGGATGCTCTGCAGTGAATGGGTGCCGTCAGAATGAGAGTCCAAACAGCTGATAAAAACATCACAATAATCCACACCACTCCAGTCCATCAGTTAACATCTTGTGAAACGAAAACAATTCCATGGTAAAGAATTTTCACTTCAAACAAGTTCTCTATCTGAAATATTGCTTCCTCCAAAGAAAAACTCAGGAATTCTCAGGAGAGAAATAAGCACAGATCAAGCCATGCTTACCAGTGAAAATGGTCCAAAAAAGTGCCAAACAAATATGTAGGTGGATTTTGATGAGAGGACGGTAGCAGATGGACCTTTTCACTAGAGGAAGCGTTATTATGGACTCATAGTTTAGCTGTTAAAATAAGGAAGCAACAGTTTGAAGTTACAAAAACATCTTAATGATAGATTTGTTTATGAACACAGCTTTTGGCTTCACAAAATATTAACTAATGAACTGGAGTGGTGTGGGTTACTTGTGGATTATTGTGATGTTTTTATCAGCTGTTTGGACTCTTATTCTGACAGCACCCATTCACTGCAAGGATCCATTGGTGAGCAAGTGATGCTACATTGCTCCAAATCTGATGGAAGAAAAACTCATCTACATCCTGGATGGCTTAAGTGAACACATTTTCAGCAAATTTTCATTTTTGGATGAACTATTTCTTTAAAATCATCATTAGCAATTAATCTTGTCTGATGTCTATTATTCGTCTATGACAATGATAAAATTTATAGTATTCAAATGCACAATACCCCACATCAAAACTGTAATTCATACGAGTTGACCAATTGGCAAAATATGCATTTGTAGAGTCATATGAAAATATATGGCTTTTAGTCCCATTGAGAAATCAATCAACCAAAACAAATCAGCATCTGTACTACCAACACGAGATTTGAAATACATTTGGTAGTGTAGTGTTGTAATTTTAAAAGTACATTTTAGCCAAAAAGCTCCATAAAACAAAAGGATACAGGTTTGGAACAAGATGAGGATAAAAAAAAGGAAAATTTAATATTGAGGATGAAAAACTGCTATTCCACTGCAATGAAGTACAGAAAAAGTGCATGCATGAGCTGGATCTGTAGAACATGAGGTTATGCACATATGCAATTTAAATTGCATAAAAATCCCTATGAGATGATACTGGTTGACATTATTTTGGTTGATTGGTTTGTCTCAATGTATAACATGTATAATCTCTTATGGCTTCTTTTGCTTGCTGCACAAAATCAATTTCACAGGTAAAATCAATTATATAAGCAGATGTGATCTACTTCAAATCACTTAGTGCTCATTCTTCATATCTATATCTAATGGAACACCACATCTAAAAGGTGTCAAAATAACATTCAAATTTCACATCTGCAAAAATGCTTCGATCATGGGCAATAAGTCCACATGGTAAACTGCCAAAACACAAACATACTTAAAAACAACGCATTTTATGTTGGCTTTTACCGAATTTCTCAATGAATCGATAATCCAATCATTTAAGATTCTTTAGAGTATTCAACTAGTTATTCAACTTCAACTGAACAAAACTGGAAATGCTAACCTGTATTTTCTTTTTTCTACAATAGGAAAAATACTAACTCTTAATATTTCCCTCCATTGACAAATTGTGAAGCACAAAGTATAGTGTCCACTTTACCTCTTGAGAACAAGCAACAAATCCACATTTCAAATTTGATTCACCCCCAAAGCAAAAAGCATTTGTTTTTAAGATTCAACGGTTTACAATTGTTTACCATTTTATGCATAATTTCTACTGAACAGAAATTAAATTGCTTGATTCTAGTGATTCAGTGGACACTGGAGTTACAGTACACAGGGTTGGACAAAATTCAGCGACTAATCATACTTTGCCCTTCTGTTAGTCAAGAAAAATGGACAAAATAAAACGTACAAAAGATGTGATTTCTTATTAAAACATCAGTTTGTGTCTTTAGTCATTCACAGGTATTTCAGCCCATTTTAATACAAGAAATATTTAGCAAGTTAGACATGAACAGTGTGTTTTTTTACAGTGTAGTTTGAGTTTGGAATTACAATTACTAGTACCTGTAACGATCACAAAAACACAAGTTTGTCCAATCCTGTGACAGCATCTAATAAAGCACAATAGTGAACAGAGGAAAAGGGGTGTGATTAATACCACGTCAGGACCATTACTTCAGAAAAACCTACACAAATAACCTGGGAACAGTCATTTCTGCAAATGAACTCCAGACAAATGGGCACTACATTCAAAAATCCCAATAAATCCAATGGAACCGGGCTCTACGCATGGAGCAAATGCTTTCAATTCCTTTAAGCTTGCAATGCTTAAAATTTCTATTCAAAATCTCTAACCTGATGCATACTTTAGACTAAAAACACGTATTAAAAGTGCAACATGATTTCTGAATAACAGCGGAACAAATCAAAATGCAAATTGTGCATTGCTGACTTTCTCTGATTGGTGTTGCTACAATTCTAGGTTTTACAGTTGAGAACACAGAGAAAACAAAAATAAAACAAACACCTGAATAATTGGCCATTTTTTGGATAGGAGACCAGAACAACAATTTGGAGGCTACCAGAATTACATTAAACAAAATATTTACAATCTATTTGCTAAACCCGGGTTGCAGTTTTAGTTTAACTGTTTTGTATTTTTTTTGCATCTAAATCTAGCATATGTGGGGTCACTCACAATGCATCACACATGATATTACAGTGTCCTCAGCATTTACACACAAATTATGTACAAATTTAGCCTGTAGGAAACACCGTCACACAGCAGAGCCATTAAGCAACAGGTTAGACAGTAATGGGTTTCTAAAATCAGACCAACAGAGTTTGAACTGAGGACATGTGCTGCATTCATTTAAATACTGATTGTGAAAATATTTATTAAATATCTGTTGCATATTAAATCAAACTTAAATCATCACAAACATGTGTTTACCAAGAGAATAAGAAACAAAAAAGCATAAAAACGCTAAAAACGTTCATGTTACCTCTGGAAAAGCAACATAGCAGTTATTCTCCATTCATTAAGCATTAAAGGAGATGATATAAAATGAAAAGCATAACTGGTGTTACTCTGACATTATAGATCTAGATGTGACTGAAATACTAGAATGCACAAAATGACCCTTGACAGTAAAAATACATTTAGCTTGTTCTGACAAAGGACATTCAGAATGCGTTTTCTTAAATTATACTGTACAGATGTGCTCAAGACTAAACCTTACACATGAAAAATGTAATTTGCCTACACCATGACAACTCAACCTGACAGACTACAAGCTTCATGTTTTTAAATGCCAAAGCAGATCAATTTGACTCCATTCATTTGCTTTTCACAACAAATCAGTGAGGAACTAAACACTAGAACAACCATTATGTCAACATCAAATCTGCCTGCAGGAATGTCAACGCACAATCTGAGAAACAATTGTGCTCATTTCAATACATTCATTTTCTCTCATCAAACTTCAATTTTCTATACATTTATGGTCACACATTGAATTTATATTTCATAATCGCAATTCTAAAGGCATGAAATATCCTGAATTAATTTTTTTTTTGGCAAGCAATTGGTCAATTAGGTAAAATAAGGAGGGAAGTGTTGTTTGACATTGGCATAGTCTCAAAAGTAGCAGCAAATCTCAGTTAAATGGACAAATAAGTGCAATAACTTGCATTTTGATTTTTTTTTTTAAAATAAAATGCTGAAATACACAAAATCCTTTCAAAGACAAACTGGATATCATCAACAATTGTGGGACAGTTTATGGTTGCTGGAGCTGATATTGCACATTAAACGGCCTCAAGACCAGGTACACAAGTTTTAAGGATCAGAGCACTCCGATCACACTACATTCGTATATAAAAAGAAGAAAAAAATAGATTAGCTGTAGGGGGGAAAAAATTATAGTACTTGTCATTACATTATAGGTCCAGGGACTCACCTTTTCTGATCACGTACCTGTGGTCCCGACCTCTGCAGGATAAGATGCATGTACATCTGAATCCTTAAGAAAGATGGGAGAAAAACAAAGACAGAGACAAACAGGATACACACCTTCCTCTCCAACTAACGGCGATACTCCCGCTCACGTTCTCGGTCTCTCTCGCGGTCACGGTCTCTCTCACGATGACGGTCCCTCTCACGGCTGCGCTCTCTGTAGTAGTCCTCGTGTCGGTCTCGGCTGCGAGACTTGCGGCGATGCTTCTCATGAGAGCGACTGTGGTCCCTCTCCCTGGACCGTTCCCGTCTGCTTAAGGTCGAAAAGCATTAAAGAGAATATGAAACCGCAAGTAATACTTTTGCAACGGACCAAATAAATTTGCATTGCATCTAATAATTTTATATTTATGAAATAATTTTGCAATGCACCAAATAAATTAGCATTCATGCTTGAAATTTTGCAATACATTTAATTGATACACAAATTTTGAATGCATTTTTTTTGCGTGGCATCAATTTCACATGCATAAAATAATTTTACAATACAAGCTAAATTATTGGATACATTGCAAATCTATTTGATGCATTGCAACAATTTGGTGCAATGTAAAAATGGATGCAAAAATAATGCATGCAAATTTACTTAATTGCATGAAAAATTAAAAACATTAAATAATTTTGCATGCATTTTTGCATCTATTTTTTCGTTGCACCAAATTATTTAGCAATGCATCAGTTTTTCATGAATCATTTTGCAATGCATTAATAGGCTACATTAAATACATTTGCATGCATTAGTTTTGCATCCATTTTTACACACGGCACCAAATTATGATGCAATGCATCAATTTTACATTCATAATTTTGCAACGCACAATTTTGCGAAGAAGCAATTTCATATGCACCGTTTTATACTGAAACATTTAACAATATACAGGGTGGGACTGTATCGTTTTAATCTGGATTATCAAATCAGATTTTTACTCCCACTCATTACTTCGGTTAAATCAGCAGAAAAGTGATCTCAAAAGACATTTCACTCATGCAAACATAATGATGCATCCCCTACAGCAAACACAAAAATACTGTGTAGATCCACAAGATCTTTACCTCGACGCAGAGCCATAGGATTTGGACTCAATTCCATGCAAGCAGTCCTGCAGTGAGCTGATGAGGACTTTGCAGCGGTCGTCAGCAGAAACCTTCGATTGCTTGATCAGAGAGATGGCCGTCACCAGAGTCTCTATAGCACTGCCGTAATCAGCTGCAAAAACAGAGTGTGTTTAATTACCACCTGGCAAACCAAACCAAACATTCATGCAATGGGTAAGTGTTTGCACCTGCACTCGCATCTGACACTGCCCTCGAGATAGCACTGCTGGATATCGCTCTGTTACGATTCATGATCTCCTCAAACTCAGCTTCACTCAGAGGAGCGCGAGACGAATCCATGTCCCTAAAAGAGAAAAAGCAGATGCACTGAGAATAAAAGCATGAGTCAGAAAGAAACAGCAATGCATCAGGGTCCAAATTCACAGAGAGCAGCAGTGCCGTTAGTGCTGAATCACATTGCATGTTAAAATTAGTGATGCACTGAAATTTTAGTAACCAAAAATATTTGTACTAGGGGTGCTTCAATCAGGATTTTGAGGCCGATCACAGAAATTAGTATCTGCTTCCTGGTCTTGAAGCCTTATTTTTATCATGTAGAATTATTTATAGTAATACTCCAATCAGGATTTTTAGAAATTTATTCAGGGCCTGAATTTCATTTTTGAAAATGGGGGGAATTTCCCCCTTATAGGTGACTCTTGTGAGAGGCCGATTTTTTTATTTGAGGGGTGGAGGTCAAAAATATATATTTCTCACCTAAATGTTTGATCATGAAGTGAATTTTTGTTTTTACACTCATGCAATTGTTGCACAATAGCTTACACACAGCACAACACAGTTGCTCAAGCAAGTGGCAAAACACTTAAACTACTTTTCTTATGTTATCACAAACATTCTAAATTAAAACTTGCCACTGACAGAAACACAGCTCTACTGCCTTTTCTTCTGCATTTAAATCTTTATTACAAGCAATGCTGGTTCATAAAGAACTTTGTTTTTCTACCTCCATGAGTGCCATCTATTATTGCCTTGTTCATCTAAAAGTGCTCCGTTCCTTTAAATCTAGCCAACAAGCCATATGTGTTGACTGTGAAACACAGCAAACTTTAATTATATGTATTTATGGTGTAATTACTACATTTTCGTTTTCATATTTACAGCAAACAATGTGCTGTCACTTTAATTCAGCGCGTGCAGCAGAAACGATCTCTGTACTGCTGCAGACGCACCGCTCATGGAATGCACTTCCGGACCGCTACCGTGTGCATGCTTTAAGATCCGTTAACATGAAAGTGAAAAAAAAAAAGCACCGCATACACACTGCAAACCGAGAATGTATGAACTCGAAGCGCACACTCATGTTATGAGTGTGCGCTTCGAGTGTGCATGAGCGCACAGTCTCCAGGAGAGTGCGCGAGCGCTGAATGGTTTAAACACTGGCAAGAATTCAAAAGAAATGCAATTCATAAACTTTAGTGACGATGCAACACTGCCTCGATTGTGCAAGTGATAATTCCTGTGTCAACTGTGCAGCTCGCTTATAAGGGCCTTTCGCACTGCTTTAGTTTCAGAACTAAATGTACAGTACTAAAGTACTGTGACGATTTTGCGCAAACTATTACATTCGCACTCGCACAGTGTGTACTAAGAAGTGACGTAAGCCGGTCGATAGCATCGTCATTTGTGCGCGGTGTTCAACAACAGAAACAAAGAAGAACAACATTAACAACAGGAGGACGGAGGACGCTGTGATCGGAGCTGTGTTTTTGTTGTGTCTCGCGGGTTTCACAATAATGGACATGGAAAGTCGACGTATACGTAAATCGATTGAAAGAACGGATAGGAGGCCTAAGAATCTCCAACGACAACTGGCAGTGCTACATTTGCTACAAGTGCCTGCACTTCAGCGTCCGTCCATCTATCGCTGTTCTCCATACTTGCGAAATAAGTTGACAATGTTTACAGTATGTTTACACAGCGTTTTAAATCACGGCGGGGGAGGGCGTTTTCATACACGTTTGGCCAATCAATGTCTACTTGCGTCACGATTAGTACCAGTTGTGCTGGTTAGACCCTGCTCCGGAGTAGGAGCTAATTTGGTTCTCGAAAAAGGCAGTCCGGTACTAAAATCGCACCCAGTTCTGGGTAGTGCCACAATTAGTTCTGGTACTATGAAAAGGTTCCCGCGGTGCGAAAGGCCCTATAGTGCAGTCGAAACGTGATTTGAAGCCATTTGCGCATTTTGAGTGAAAGAGAGAGCGTGCGGTGATTCACTCACACGGTTTTAAAATTTTTCAAATTACTTTACGAGTTATTTTATGGAGAAATATGAATTCAGCATTCAGCATAATAATTATTTCACCCGCGCCAGACAGAGACTGAGACTGTGTTGCCGCTGTATGTCGTGCCAAACCTCGATCAAACATCCCAAAACGATTATCGGCAGCTGGTGATTGGTAGCCGATCAATCGAGGCACCTCTAATTTGTTCGTTGTAAATGAAAACTCATCAGTGCATCACTTGTTAAAATTCACTGCAGAGACGGCACACACTCCATGCGTTCACAACACACAAGCCTGAAAAAAGATCCCGCTTCAGGATCCTGGTCTCAGCGGACGGTTACTTCACTAACCCTTGATCACTTGTACTGTGCAAGTGCTGGCCAGAGTTTTTCACATCAACCAACCCTTCGTTTATCCAGGGCTCAAAGCCACATACTACAGGGGGTCTGAAGTTACTGAAGAAAGGCCAGAGAGGAGATTCAGGGTCGGACTGAGGCCACACGCTTTAATAACATCCACTGGAGTTAATGGTAAGTAACAAATCGCCAAGGCTGAGATTTAATGAAATGTGTGCTGCATTTTAGAGTAAAAAATAAATAAAAATATTTTATAAGTACAGCAATTCTTCTAAAATATGATTATTTTATTACATATATTTTATATGTATATGCTTTAGTTATAAAATTAATACTTTGTAATTATCTAATTAAGCATTGTTATAGTTAATATACATGTTGCATGCTTCAGAGTAAAGACCATAAAGCTTTATAGTATTTAAAATATAAAATTACAATGATTAGTTGATATTTTTGTAATAATTAATTGTTACTTAATGTGCTGCATGTTTCCACACAAAAACAGTAAAAAAATATATATTGTGCAATAAAAGTTAAACATGCAATTTATTTTATGATGACTTAAAACACAATGTTATTAATGTTTTAAAAACAGATTATAATAAGTTGTGTTATAAATTATAATTCTATTGCTATAAGTAGTTCATATTTATTTTAAAGTAAAGATTTAACAGATTTTTAATGTACAATTTAATTTACATTTTCATTTAGCAATAACAAAAATACTATTACTACAACTTTTATTATTGTAAGTATTATTACTAACCAAATTTCGCAGCCCTACAAACATGGAGCTTAAAAATTCCTGTAAAGTAAGTAAAAAAAATAAAAATATTTGACATTAATGATATCAGAACAATGTGTTACTTTAATAATTTCATTTAGCACTAAATAAACCTGGAGCTTGTCGTGCTTAACAAAAAAACAACAACAACAAAAAAATAAACGCGCTGTTTTATCAGAGAAAAAAAATAAAGATTTAAAATTATATTTGAAATCGTGCAGCCCTAAAATATAATCTAACCAGTTCAGTTTCCACCGGTGTGGCCTGAGAACTTGTTACGTGTGAGAGTTACAGTGCAGTGATGGTGAGGTGTTTATTACCTGCCGCCAGGGCCAAAGTCTCTGTCGTATGGAGGTGGGCGGCCGAACAGTTCACCCGGCGGTGGGCCCCTGCTGTCGGACGATGGCATGTTGTTGTTTCCAGGCGGTGGGAAGAAGGCCGGGTTGACGTGAGGGGCTGGAGGTGGACCTCCAGGTGGGGGTCCCTGCATGTGAGGTGGAGGTGCGAGGCCAAGCGGGGGTCCTAAGGGCCCAGGTGGACGGGGAGGGAAGGGTCCTGGAAGGGGCAGACCCTGCTGAGGTGGAGGGGGGCCTGGGGGAGGCCCGAATCCAGGTGGGGGCGGGCCAGGAGGCATCGGACCCATAGGAGGCTGACCAAACTGACCAGGAAACATGACGGGTGGAGGAGGACGGTCTCCTCTGTTGGGGGGACCTCTGAGGGGCGGCAGCAGACCTTGCCCAGGTGGAGGGGGGCCAGGGGGTCCTGGAGGCCCAGGTGGACCTGAGGGAGGACGCGGCGGGCCTTGCATACCTGCAAAGGGAGGGTTTGAACTAACTAAATTTACATTGATCAAAGACAGCAGTAGAAAAGGAGCGCGAGGATTCCCAAAATTTTGTCAGACAAACCCCTTTGACTGAAAAATAACTAGAAGTCAACTATGAGATTTTAAGTTAGTATTTCAATGATTTAAAAACAGCCATTTGCACGTTCATGGTTCTGATATTGAATATTTACATGACTTAATTACACGTAATATTTATTAGTTTCATTTTAACATTGATTTGAGTAAGATCTCCATTTGATCTATTTTTTTTATAATTTAACTAAGTGCTTTATTTTTATTTTATAGTAATTTATTGACCATTTTTACAGTTATATGATTGACTAAAAATTAGCAGAGATGCACCGATCGATCGGCCAGGGATCGGAATCGGTCAATTTTCCTCATGATCGGTGACCGGCCGGTCAGTCTCACTTCTTTCCGATTTCGAGCCGATCCGTTTTGTTACCAGCGGCACAGGCAATAACGTCAGCCGCGCATTCTCACTCTCTTCTCTCCGACGACCCCTTCTCTCTCTCTCTCTCTCACACACACACGTCTCATTCGCTCCGGTTAAATAGTGCTTGTATTGCACATTTTAGTCAATCCCACAGGTTTCCACCACTGATGGCGCTTTTCCACTGCATGGTATGGCACAATACGGCACGGTAAGGTTCATTTTGGGGGTTTTCCACTGGGTACAGTACCAGGTACCTGGTACTTTTTTTAGTACCACCTCGGTTGGGGTTCCAAGCGTACCGTACCGTTACCAAAACGAGACGTGTAAACTCTGCTGATCACGGATTGGCCGGAGAAAATCGTCACTACCTGCGTCACTGAACTTGCGACATGAGACACAAACAGACCCGCTAGATTTAAATCAGCACAGCCAGCGAAGGATCAAATGCAACTGTTTTGAACGAGCACACCTTTTTTTAAACAACCAAAAAGTGGCTGTTCCCCCGGTTGCCGAAGAACAGACGTTCCTCTCGTTGATAGCAGAGGAGCGGATCCAGCGAGAGCTTGATGGGGCGACGCGGAATGAAAACGGTTTTTAGGAGTCGCGGCAATAGAGGCGGCGCAACTATAACGACATGTGAATAATCCCGCCCATTCTAAAGCGATACTAAACTGCAGTGGAAACGCAAACCGAGCCGTGCCGTACTGAGCCGTACCGAGCCGAGTCTTACCACGCAGTGGAAAAGCACCATTAGTGGATCGCACAAGCCACGCTCAGTCTCAAACAGCTTGTGAGCCACAAATACCAAAATGAGTGGTTAACTGTGCTTAAACGGTCAAATACATACAAAATTGCCAAAATGCCCATCTTGGCGAGTATCCAGTTAAACACAGTCAGTTTTGGAACGTTAAATAGTTGAGAAAGAGAACGCATGTTGTGTAACAGTATATTGGGTCCATGGATAAACTCTTAAAGGGACCGCAGTCCAATATTCCTGCTGTCATGTTAATCAAAGAACAAAAGACAAAGATAATAATTTTCTGCTCTTGACTGAATACGTTTTATAACTTTAATGGTAAGCATTAATCTGTATTTAATTTTTACAATGAAGACTACAGAAATTAAAGTGGACACGATGTGTTATTTTACATTTGATTAATTTCTGTAGTATTTCTTAACTGAATAAAAACGTACTTAACCTGAAAAACTTAGTTTCATAGCTCTCTTTATTCTATTGCATTTATTTGTGCTGTTTGCATTTTTTTTATTTGCTCTTATTACTGACTTGTGTTTTTTTTATGAAAATCAATCTTTGCGTTGAAAAGTAGATTTTAGTTTGTATACGCTGTCAATTATAGTTCTTAGAAAGAAAATCAGAATCTGAAAAAATCCGAAATGGCCAAGAAAATTGCAATCGGTGCATCTCTAAAAATCAACTTAAAAACCCACTGCAATTCATTAACAAACATCAGTTTGGAGCCTCAAAAATAGGCCAAAATGCCACAAATTAACAAAAATACCCCACAAAGTCAAGATACAGAGGCAAAAAATGCCCTGCACAAACTAAAATGACTAAACTATGACATTTGACAATTATGACATTACATTTAGATCTGCTCATGTTGCATCAAACACTTTCTTCATTGTTTTTTTTTGCATTTGTAAAAAATTGCAATTGTAATGCAATTGGTAAAACATTAAGTTGACTATGAATTCAATTTATTAGACATGCTTTTTGATGAAAAAATAATAAATCCATTAAAATGGAACAAACCAATTAAAACAGAACGTGGTAAAAATAAAACAAATTAAGAAATTTAAATAACATGAATCTCACAGCATTATGCAATTGTTGTGTAAATGTGCCACCTTGGGCAAATGTAAAGACAGCTTTTGTGGATGTTGATCAATTTCTTATTGGTAACAGTCTAAAGAATTCTTCAATACTCTAGGATTAATTAATTTAATTATGACAAAAAAACAACAGACGCTTGTAATAAAGTACTTATAAAAACTGACCATTCAAAAATAAAACAATACACCTGTTAAATCACATAGAGGGGCAAATATAGACTCTTTACAGAAAAGCTCATTTCTGCCCTTGCCCTAATATAGAGACTCGTACCTGGGAAGTGTGGTGGAGGTCCACCAGGTCCACCTGGTCCAGGAAAGCGGTCTCCTCCCGGGCCAGGTGGGGTGGGAAAGCGCCCTCGATTCTTGCCAAGAGGGAAGCCACTGCGAGATCCTGAGCCTGGAGGCCCGGCCTTCCCCTCTCCGGACATCTGCCCAGACTGTATGCCTGAGTGGACAAAAACTGATCATAAAACAACTGCAGCACAAACACAGCGGCAAGTTCACTAAACTCTGTTCAATCAGTAAATGTGTTGAATTTTCTGTGAATTTGTCTCACTTTTTCGCGACTGCATCTCAAACTGGCTGAGCGACTGTTTGTTGCAAGGAGTGATGATTGGGTTTTGTCCATGCAGCTCCCGCTTGGACAGCAGGTCCATCAGCTTCCTGGACGAGGAGTCTGAACCCACACAGACCAGAGCAAACCTGTGGAGCACAGAGAGGTCATGTTTGATGCTGATCTCTATAAAAACCATGTAACAGAGCATCACAAAAGGGTTGATATGTATATTTACACAGACCTAGGAAACAAATTTCAGGCTTCACTTACCCTTTTGACTGTCCATTTGCTCGATTCTCAAAAAACTTGATCTCCAGCACATCATTGATGCCTACTGAGTGAATAGCATCGGTCAAATCTTCATCAGTGGTCCACTGTAATGAGGAAAACAAATGTTAGTTATACTACGTGTGTAATAAACATATCTATCTGTATCTATACACTATTATATATATCACTGATGCGTGATGGAACGTAGTTAGAATGTCCCTAAAATTCAAGATATGGGGCAAAATGCCCGTTTGAATTTTTGTCTCATATTTACATTATATAGTTAAGCAATAAGAGCAATATCACAGGAATGCAAATGTGATACTGACCTTATACAACAGTTCAGTAAATAAGTTAGTGTTTTTTTAGACACAATGTTGTCTGTTTTGCTCAATTTTGCCAACGAAAATATAAAGAAAGCAGAACTGTTAGTCTCCGAGCAGCACACAGCAGCATTTTATTTCTTAATTCACATTTTGAATGAATTGGGTGAATCATTTGGCGCGTTCAAGCATTGGCGGCGCGTTGGATTTGAAGCGGCACTGCACAGGCCGATCGGTGTACGACATCAAAGGACCGCAAGAGAGATTCAAAAGCATAAAGAACCGTCTGCTCTCTATAGCTCTTGTGGTACTTTGACAGGGTGTCTACAGATATGAACAAGTTAAATTTAAGACTTTTTAAGACCTTTTTAATAACACCTTATGTGAAATTTAAGACCAAGCCTGTGATGGAAATACACATTACATACGTATATGTAATATTTAACGCGTTTAAATGTAAAAAGAAAACAAAATATCATCGCAGTCAAAAATTCTATTTGTTATTACGATATACAGTGAACTTTTCATATCAGCAGACAATATCCCATACAAAATATTCCCACAAAACAAAAGTGTTGCATCACCCAGATTTTTGGTGGTGTAAACTATTTATTCTGAAGCAATATTTTCATCAGTTTTCTGTCAGCTTTTACATACTTAAATCTACATGTTTTTAATACTTACCACAGGATGTCATTTACCTTAAAGTCCAATGTTTTTATTTTTTTACCTTATTAAATGTATGCGTCATCTTTCAAGTCAAATTCTTACAACTGATCAAGAAATTTAATTCACTACAGGGCTGTTACCAATCAAATTAAATAAGTACAAAATTACAACAGCAATAAATAATGTTATGGGATTAATGTAAATAAAAATTTGAACATACAAATAAGACATTTTGGGGGAAAATGCGTACTTTTAAGCATGAAACTAAACCACCAGTAGGTGGCGGTAAGTCACTTATTCATTCAACCGATTCCTTCAAACCTCTGAATCATTCAGTAACAAAATGCCGGGTGTGGCTTGGAGAATGTGCGCAATAATTCTGTTCTGATCTTTGTTTGGAACTATTTTCGTTGGTGAAATAGAACAAAACAGTCAATTTTGTCTAAAAATGTAAGTAACTTCATATACTTTACTACTTGTTTGTTGAACTAAAATCAATGTAACATTTGCAATCATGAAAATATTCAGCAAAATAGATCCCTTGTCATGGTATGTTACTTGACTATATCATGCTATAAATAAACTAAACATTTTTAATTTTTACCTCCGTATGTTTGTTCTGTGAGTTTCTTTATGTGTGCCGTACGCTCATTTGATTTGATTTCTCCATGAAAGTCTCTCACAGAGACAGGCAGCACGAGTCTCAACAGCGCGACATTGATAATAGAAATACACTATCCATTATCAATCGCTGTTTAAGCTGAATGTAATAAAATCAGAAGAATCATTCGCGCGTTTTGATGCGTGATTATATTTTGTCACTTAATTTTTAATCAGGCTAATAGTCCTGTTGGGCAAGTACAATTCTCAAGCCATTTTTCAGTAATCTTGCATGAACCCATTTAAAGTAGTTCGGAGGCTGGACAGCGAGCTGGTGTTCGACTGTATTCTGTAACCGCAATTCTCTCTGATGACGCGGTAACTACAGCGGGGCGAAAAAGTACTCTTGATAGACACTCACTGGGTCCTGAGAAATTTTTGTGGTAATGTGACCAAAAATATTTAAGACCTACTGAATCTGAATTTAAGACATTTTAAGACTTTTTAAGGACCCCCGGCCACCCTGTTTGATGTCACACACAGATCGGTCTGATGGTGATGATCTGTTTCAAGTCAAACAAGCCTAATGATTCAATGGACCATTCATAAAGAACCATTTACTTCTCTCCTGAATAAATCAGCCATTTCAACGAATAAATGACTGACTTAATCATCAAGACATTTACCACCACCTACTGGCAGCTTTAGTAGATTTTTTAGAGTATCAATTCATTAAAGAAATAATTTCATATTTCCATAGTAGTAATAATAAAATTAATAAATTGTTAAAGGTATAGTTCACCCACCCAAAAATGACAATTGTGTCATCATTTACTCACCCTCATGGTC